TCTAAACCAACTTATTACTAATTTATTATTTATTAAACAACATATCTAATCTCATTTTTATGATTAGACTGCATTTAGGCCTATTAATAAAACTTTTTTTAATAATTTTTAAAAATAACAATATTTTCTATTTCTACATATTAATCTAACTTGATATTACTTTCTTAATTCTTCTATTACTAATAAAGAACTTTTTTAAACTTTCTTACAACTATCTAATAACAAAGCTTATAATACTATAGATATTAGTTATGAAATATTTAAACACATTAGTCTCTAATACACTTCTGCTATTACTACTTTTTTTAGCTGCTAATTTTTTAAAAACAGAATTTCTAAACAATAGAAACATAGCAGAATTTATTCTATCCTCAAATAAAACACTTTTGATAATGACTTTAACTTTGCATAACCTATTAGTCTAATTGAACACATCTGCAAACTTTATACAAAAATTCTTACAACTGACTTAGCTTTACATTTTTCTTAAATTCTATTTTTTTATCTTTTAACTATATTGCTTTTTCTAATAATAAGAATTCAATTCCTATTTATATTCTTAATAATTTTATTAAAAATGCTATCTGCAATTATAAGAATATTTGATTATTTTTATAAAATATGAGCAAAACATACAATTCTGTAAACTTTGCTTTTTTTAAATATTTACTTTTCTGTTTTTTACTTTTTTTATCTATTATTAATACTCTTTCTAATCTTTTTACTAATTATCACAACCAAGTTATTACTAATCTTGGTTTTACTTTCTCTTACTTAGTTCACAATAGCATTGACCAAAATAAAACAATTACATCTTTATTATAGCATATCTATTACAACCTACTTATTTCACATATATATTCAAAAGTATCTGGTTATATTTTACAATCTATTTGAACTACTAATCTAAAACTTTAAACATCTAATTCATTACAAAAACAATGCTTTGTTTTGATATATAGATAATACTTTTTATATTGCTTTTTCAAAACTAAGCTTTCTTATATATTATTTATAACTAAATTATTTTATGTTATAACTAATATTCAAGTCAATCTTTCAAAATCTATTTTGGTTACTAATAATCTTCTATCTCATTATACTTCTATTTCTTACAACAACTATCTACTTCTATTTTATTCTTTTAATTAACTCTTTACAATTTTTAGATTGCTAATTTACCTTAGATAACAGTCAATTTAAATAAACAAAACAAATTATTTTTGAATTCTTTTAACTTATCCAAATTGCAAAAACCAAATGTATAACCAATTTACATGTTCACTATATCATCAATACAGTTATTATTTCTACTATTAAATACCACTTGTATAATATTATTATTAACAAACTTACTTGCAATAAAATTTTTATTCAGCATATTGATCTTGTTAAGCTTAAAGCCAAACTTTATCACATAATACCTTTTAGTATTCTATCACATCCTCAAATCTACAATATTAAATATATTTGAAATATTCAACTACAACATCACATTCTTAATCTTTTCAAACAACTTAATAATTTTAAACTACTAAGCATATTTACTTATATATAAATTTAACAACTTCAAAATAACTTTTGGTTTTTTATTAATATTTTTCTGTATTTTAAGTTAATTATTGATAGATCAAATTACTTAAAGATAGAGAGTAATATATTAAAATTATATATAAACTCAATGGTAAAATTTTTTTATATTTAATTTTATGAAAAATTATATTAAGTAAACTAATATTAATTTATAAGAAACATTTGTAGAACAGATCTTTCTAATTTTAATAATAATAAAATTATTAAATTTAATTAAAAACTCAGTAAGATATAGCTTTTTAAAGATTAGGTATAAAAATTTATTAATTAAATTAACTTATAGGGTTATATAAATTAACCAATCAAATTTAGTACTTTTGTACTATTTAGAAAACTTTGAGCTGTTCTAGAAAAACTTTGTAATATATATAAGTATATATTTTTTAAATATAATAATAGTTCAAAATTTTACCATAATAGATAAATTATTTTATTTATATTTTATAAAATTTTAATAAAAATTAGTTGTAATTTAAAAAAATTTTATAAGTAGTATATTTCAATTTTATATGAAAATTCAAAATACTATATAAAACTATATAAAAATAATCTATGTACCTTCTATCCTTAATCACAAACTTTAAAATAATACAACTTATTAAACATATAAACAGAACTTTTTCAATTGGCTTAATCTACAATATTTTATATATTCTAAATAATAAAATTATCTTATTTAAATTTCTTTTTTCTTTTTATTCAAAATATTTTAATTTCAAAAAACAATTCAGATGTTATAAACTTTTTTTTTTAAACCAACTTACTATTTATAATAATTCTGTTTATTACATTGCCAATATATTTTACTCAGACTTAACAAAATTCTCAAAGATGTTAATCACAATAGTTTACTACTCTTAAGGACATTATTACAAGTCACTTTTACTAATGCATTTTATATAATTATTATAACTTACCTTTTGTAAACTATTTTTGCTATTCTATTAATTACTTTATCTTTAATACTAAATCTTAGCTAATTACTATTTTTGATAACCAAATAATTATTAATAACCAGAAAGCATAATATATCTACTGGCCTTACTTTTATTAATTACTGATATTGGTCATTTCAGTCTCAGTTTTCTAATCTTTATCTTATCTTTTTTTCTACTATTACATTATATACTAGTAACAAGAAGTCTATTTGGAAAAATCTGAGTAGAAAGATAGTCAAATCTTTAATAACTTTACTGTAAAAATTAGTTTAAGAAAACAGATACCAAGATTCAAGTACTCAGTTATAGTAGCCAAATAGGCAAGAACCTCCAGGTTAGGAGTTTTAGAGGTATTACTAATCAAACTGCCAGAATAAATTAAAGAAAAAAGATATCAGACTAACCTGATATATCAATGAACTGATTATAGTTTTATACAAACTATCTGGATTAGAAGTCTAATAAAAAGGCAGATAAAAAAGCAGAGTTATACTAAAGTACTAGAGTTATATTGTAAAGTAGATGTTAAAACCTATATAAACTCTACAAAAGCATAACAGTTAAATAATATAACTTTGATTAAAAATGTTGATTTTTTTATAGTAATATCTAGATCAGCTATAAAAATAGATATAGAAGACTTTAAAAAGTTTATTTCAAAAATAAATTAGTCCTAAAATTAAAATAATAATCTAGATATTTGAATATAATTTAATGAATTAATACAAATTACAAGTTTAGAGGATTTAAAGTAGAACATTCAAGCAGAGATGTTAGGTATGACAATTGGTAGAAAACTTTTAGACAAACTTCTTAAATAAGTAATATTAAAAAGTTATATATATAACCAATTGTACTTTCTTCTATAATGGTTTATAGGATCATATTACTATAAAAGTTGTTAATAAAATCAAAAAACCAAAGAGATCACCTTAATATCAAAAAAAAAAAATTCAGCAGATATAATAATTTAGTAAAGTAGTTAAGTTGTTAATCCTCTAAGTAGTAGTTAAATGTTCAAATTTTATTGATAACAAAAATTTGAATAATCATTTATATAATATTTATATTAATAATTATTACTAATAATTAGATTAAGATATCTGTAATAGTGATTATATTAGTATGACTGGTAAGTTATAAGACATTTGTGTAGTTATACAGAAAAATATAAATCAATAATTAGATGATGCAAATACTAAATAAATTCTTGTGACTATATAAATCTGTCAAAATTGGGTAATAAAAAGTCTATTTGGAAAGACTTAAATAAAAAAATAACTAGATATTTAACAGTATTACTATAAAGACTAGTTTGAGAAAACAAATACCAAGATCATAATATCTGAATAGACAAGAACCTTCAAATTGAAAGTCTTAAAGATACCACCAACTAGACCATTAGAACAAATTAGAAAAAAAAATATTAAGCTAATCTGATATATTAATAAACTAATTATAATTCTATATGAGTTATCTAAATTGAAAATCTGATAGAAAAACAAATAAAAAAACAAGAGTATACTAAGGTATTAGAATTATACTGTAAAATAAATACTAAGATTCAAATGAATTTTCAAGAATATAGTAGTTAAATAATATAATTCTGACTACAAATATTGATTATATTATAATAATATCTAGATCAACTATAAAAATAAGTACAAAAAACTTTGAAAAATTTATCTTAAGAATAAAATAATCCTAAGATTAAAACAATAATCTAGGTATCTAAGTATGACCCAATGATATTAATACAGGTTGCAAATTTAAAGAGTTTAAAATAAAACACCCAAGCAAGAATATTAAGTACAACAATTTGTAAGAAACCTTTAGGCAAACTTCTTAAATAGATAATATAAAAAAATTACATATATAACCAATTGTATGCTCATCTGTAGTAATTCATTAAATCACATTACCAAAAAAAATCATTAATAAAAGTCAAAAGATCAAAGAAATCACCTTAATACCAAAAAAAAAATATTCAGTACTATAAAAAATATATAATTATATATTTTTTAAATTAATATATTAATTTTTAAAGCTTGTATATACTGTGAACATTCTTGGACATGTGGACGTTTGAACGTTGAACATGGTCAAAAAAAATCTTGGACATAGGATAATATAAGAATTAAGAATACTGTAATCGTTTATATCTTATTTTGATATAGTTTGACAAAATTTTTTACCCTTTTTTTTTCTTAATTTTTTTTTTGTTCACTCTTCTAGTTATTTCGCTATTCATTTGTCAGTTGTGTCATTTTTTTTGGCTTCTAAATTCTATATATTTCATTGCACAAACGTGCGTCTCACGAAAAAGTATTGTGTAAACCGTATAAAAAAATTTTTTTACACAATATCGGAATCATTTCTATATTTGGACGGTTCCTATCGTGTGTGGTATAGCAAATCACCGTTCCTGATATATGGTCAGAAATTTTAACCACCGAGACTTAACAGAAAATGGATGAACTATTTGGCTTGCGTAATCTCTTTTATACAGGTAATGCTCAACGAAGGTTTATATTTATACATGGTACATGAAATAATATAAAATAATACCCCTTTCACAACTTACAACTAGGTTCCTTTCAGCAGGTGATAAATGAGGGTAGTAGTCGCACATCTGTTTCAGAAAGCGCAAAGTTAGAGCGCAAAATATATCTATATCGTGCTTACGTAGCTCAAGGCAAGCATAATATTGTTATTACCGAAATAAAGGATTCTGATCCGATAGACTTGCGCGTAGTTAAGACTCTGGCTGTATACTTACAGTCTAAAAGTGGTAGTCAAGCTTCTGAAACAAAAAAAGAGGAAGCTCTTAAAGAACTTAAAGAGATACTGAGTGATGCTGCAAATATGTCAAATTCAACAGTTCAAGTCATTGCTGGTATGGTTTATTATCGTGAAGGTTTATTTGAGGACGCATTGAAAATCTTGGTTCGACATAATAGGAATTTAGAATGGTAACATTCTTTACTGTGATCTTATTTTTATAACGCAAGCCTTTGTAATTATTTGTGACGAAACTGATATTTATCATAGTGTAGCGTTGATAATCCAAATATATCTACAATTGGATCGCTTAGATCTTGCAAAAAGAGAGATCGCAGCGACAAAAACTTGGGCAGAAGATGCAATGCTTGCACAATTAATAGAAGCATGGGTTGGATTGAGAACTGTAAGTTTTCTTAAACTTTATCTATAATTATATTAATTTAAACCTAAAATTTTCAACTTTTATTAAGGGTGGCGACAAATATCAAGAAGCATATTATATTTACGAAGAAATTGCTCAATCACCATCATCCAACACGGTTAAAGTGTTGAATGGGCAAGCAGTATGTAATATTCATCTTGGTAGATATCCGGAAGCTGAGAGCTTATTGTTGGAAGCATTAAACAAAGTATATATAATGATTAATTTTGCTTGCTTACTTGTAAATATTATGATTAAACCTGATTCACGTTACCTATTTTCACAAATCGACTTTACAGAACAACGATGACCCAGATACTCTTGTCAACTTAATTGTTGTGTCTAATTTAATAGGGAAACCTACAGAAGTTGTCAATCGATATACCACGTAAGTTTTGTTGATATTCAATATTTTTCACTTTTTGACTGTTCTTGAAATTCGATTATAAACTGTTCATTATATAAATTATACAATAATATAGACAACTTAAAGAAACTGCACCTAATCATGTATTTTTGCAAGACCTTGACCTTAAAACGAGTTTATTTGATCGTTCGGCGCAGAGGTTTGCACTCGCATAGGTCATCGCTAATCTTCCCAATAATTCTTAAATAATTTTATTTTAGAGATATGAGTCTTATAATAAATTCTGTATTTAATAGTCATTTCTTAACGTTCAAGCTGTTACATATAAATATTGTGATCAAGCTGAAGACTCATTTTAATGGATAGTTGAAATGAAATTTCAAAATCGTTTCCTGGTCTAGTTTCGGATGGAATATTATATAATACTCTAATTTAAAATTTTGGTTTAACGCCTGTAGATCTCCCACAAAAAATTAATCAAAAAATCCCCCCTAACGTGACTTAATCCTAACCCTAAAGATTTCATTACACCTAATCTTTCGATCTAATTGGATGAAAATCACGGGAGGGGGGAAATTTTTTGTGAGAGAACTACCAACTATAATTTGGCTTGAATATTCTATTTCTATTTAATACTTTTTATAAACCCCTCCAGTCTTAAGCCAGAGTACTCCAGAGGATGATACACAAGTTAACAACCCTATCTGGAACAATTGATATTACTATGACATTTCATTGCTAATTGCTTTTACTCGATTCGGTATTGAATCACTACACGATTTTCGACAATTGGGAATCCGGCATTTGAATTCGCACGATATATTTTCAATTGGACTAAGATATGTAGAATATGCAGCTAGCTCTAAGCTCAATCCACATTGGATAAATTCGTTTCTTTATTTGTTGCTATATACGAACTAAATAAAGTTAGTTCATTATATCCGTAGTATCTTGTAATTACAAAAACGGGTATACAGGGGAGCCCTAATTTCCCCCAAGTTCTGATTGGGCGTATGAAATACATCTCCCATTGGATAATATAGATCACGATACCTTTAGCACCACATGATCTTAGATCCAAAAAAAAAAAAGTGATATATGTTAGTCACTCAAGTGAAATTTATCGTAAAATTTTTTACTCGATATTTTATTTATTCGAGAAAGAGATACAACTTTCTATCGACAAAATTTCAAATACAATCAAATGTGAATAACTCCCTTGATAAAAACTTACTATTCTATAGCAAACATTATAATTTCTACAGATTCAAATAAAAGTTGTCCTTATTATAAATTACGACTGTTTGTTTCGAGCACAAATGATTATAAGATTTCAATTTGCGAATTAATAACCAATTAATATATTTCAATTTTCGAATTAATAACAATTAAATATTTCGGTTTGCGAATTAATGCTACTGAATTTTCAAACAAATCAGATTTCACTTTGCTGGTTCTAATTAGCGTTAGTAGATTTAAATATATGCGCATACAAAACAAAAAAAAAATTTTAATACTTATTTTGACATCTAATCTTCATATTTGGAGCAATTCGATTTATTTGGGTTCTTTGTTCATCAACAATAGTATTTTGTGGAATAATTCAATTCTGGTGATTCTTTCTCTTTTTGTTTGAATCATTTGTTGTAAAGTTATTCATAGTTTGTAAATGGTTTCACTTTTTTTATCCTGTTATTTTATAAAAATTGTGACAAGATCTTCATGTAGCTTTGCAAGTTGTACAGTTATCAGCAAAAGTAATGTCCAATTTTTTTATTAAACAAAATTAAAATCAAATACATGATTTTTTTCATTTTTACAATATACTATATATATATTTTTTTCCTAGCTAATTAATATTTGTAATGCTCTCTTTTTGTTTCCAATACTGCTTCAATCCTTCCTGGAACTGAGTTTACAGACTTCAAAAAAACCAATGTATCTAATTTTGATTATTATTTTTTTAGAGTAATTTTAAAATCATCTATTTTTCTTAGAAAGTCTTTCTGATTTTGAATATTATTTTTCAATACTTTTTAAATATTTTCGATCAGATTAAAGTTAGGAGATTTTGTAAACTAGTTTAATTTGAGGATTTTTTTGTTTTTAAGCCAATTGAATACTTTATATATTGGTACATTGTTTTGTTAAAACATTATTTTTGCACTTACTAATAAATAAGATGTTTTAGTTCTTTCATAAAATGATAATAAATGATTCTTTAAAAGTTTAATATATATTTTTTTATTAATTTTTTCTTTTGGTTATTTATACTTATCAAAAAAACAAGAGAATTCTTGATCCTACTAACAAAACAATCTTACATCATTACTAACCACTTATTATTTTTAAAACTTAAGATTAAGCTTTTATTTTTATTTCTTTCATTTTTGAAACATTATATCCTAATTTGATGTGATTGTTTACCAAGCTTGACAGATATTTTATCAGAAAAAATTACATGTTACCAACTATAAATATTTTTTGATATGCTTTATTGATACTATTTAAACTGTTCTTTTATATTATATTCTTTAAAGAATAATTTTTTTACTATTATATAAGACTGAACATCGAAACTTTATAAAACTTAAAAAATAGTTTTTAAACTGTACTCAAGTTTTAAATTATTAACCAGATTACACAAAGGCTTATATCTTTTTTTAGAGTTGCTTTTACTAAAGTATTTTTTTTAATTATTAAGGGCATGGATCTTTTAGATCTTGATAAATTTGATATATTTTTGATTCTCTAGTACTTGGTAAGAAACCTTTGAATTGTGATAAGGTTATATTCTATTTTCTATACAACTTGTTGGGCACTCATATATTCAATATAAGTCAAGATTTTTTCTTTGTCTTTGTTTTTTTTTTTTTTTTTTGAGTTAAAGTCCCTGTCTGTGGGAGTTGATGTTTTTATTCATGTATTTGGACTCGGGTGCCTCCAGGGGCTCCCTTACATTGGAGGTTACAACTAGCCACATATGCACTTTTGGTGCCTAATTTAAGTAGTCCACTTATACATTACTATACAGGTTCTATACTAGATGCCATACCTTCAAGCCAACTATGGGTCTTGCCTATTTAAACCCTCTGCATATATAGTCCACCATGTCTTATGGGGACATCTTCAAGGCTACACCTATCCAAAGTACCCAATGCCTTCAAGTACCCTTAGGACTAGTTTATCCTCGACAGGAAATTTACTAGAACTTTTCATGTCCCACACACAGCTGATCTAGTTTTATGCAACATGCTATAGTTACCTAACACTTGCAGTCATAGGGATTACCTGTTTAATTACTACATTACACTATTTCTACCCTTGTAAAGTTCACTAGAAACCCAGTACCTATTATCACGATGTCTTCTCCATCATCTCTTACTAACTGCTACTCAGGACCGACAGGACTCCCCCGACTTCCAATTCAGATAGCCTAGTATAGTATACTTATGTATCCTTTTCCTCTGGTGATTCTGGCAGCCTGGTTGGTCATGTGCTTCTCTACACATTTTGACATCCAGTTTATTCGCCTATCCCTTTGGGGGTGTTTCATGGGCTTCCATCGGTCTGACCGTACTGTCGAAAGTTCAAGCTACCTCTTTATTCAGGAATTTTCTAGTGGGCTTCTGACTATTCATTTCCTTAGTTTGCTACACCCAGTGGTCTTATCATAGGTTTGCACTGAAGTCTTATGCGACACCAGTTATTAACATTTCTCTATAAATGTGTAATGTTACACTTAATATAGATGCCCTGAGCTCCTATTCAAAATGGTGTGACTTAAGGTTATAGATACACAAATCCAACCGATCATCAAGAGACAGTTTGCCGTAACACAGGTTAATTTCCAAATCTCATCATAGGTGAGATTTGAACCTTAGACCTGCCACTTGAAGGATGACAACCCAACCACTACACTAGGATTGCTATTCTCCTTTCTTTGTTTTTGTCTATTATTGAAATACCAATTATGCTTATTATATTATGTTTTTTTTTACAAATACTTTGTAAAAAGTCAAAGAAAAAGAAAAAAAAAGATTTGTCTCACAAATTACTATAAGAGAATAAGCAATATGTATTTATTTGAATATCAGTTACAGGATCAAAATCAGGCATTATTTTTGCTAATAAATATATATTCTTATTATTATTATTTGTGGAAAAATTACAAGAAATATAAATATCAAAAAAATCAAATTTTATAGGTAGTTGATCATATTATGTATTTTCATTATTTAGATAGTTTCATATTAATATTGTGAATATGTGTTTGCATGATAATTGTTATAATTAAAAATTATAATAATTACAAATATAAGAGAAAATATTAAAATAATTATCATCTAAGATGAGTTAACAAAAAAGAACAAATCATTTTTAGTAAAATTTTTTTAATTTTTAAATTAAATAACTTAACAATTATTTAATCAAATTTGCTAAAAAATTTTTTTATTTTAATATTGAAATTATATAGAATTAAAATAAAAAAAATATTAAATTTAATAAAAAAGTTGTTAAGATATTTAAGCTTAAAGTTAAAAAAACTTTTACTTAGAAAAAATTTGACTTTTTTTTGTTTATTGTAGTATCTTTTTTCTAAATACTTTAAATCATTATTCATTAAAGAGTGTATTATTTATAAATTAAATTGAATATTGTAAATATTATTGTTATTAATTTGTATATCTTTTATATATATATTTTTTTTAATATTAAAGTCTCTATCTTCAGAATATGACATTTTTATTTAAATATATAGGACATGACATGCCACTAGAAGCTACCTTACATTGAAGGTTATAACTAGTCATACATGCATTTTTGATGCCTAATTTAAGTAATTTATTTATATATTATTATATAAGTTCTATACTAGATGCCATATCTGCAAGCCAACTAAGAGTCTTGCCTATTTAAATTCTCTATATATGCAATTTTTTTTGTATTATAAGAACATTTTCAAGCTACACTTATCCAAGTTTTTGATGTTGGTTAATACTCTTAGAACTACTTTATTTTTGACAAAAAACTTACTAAAACCTTTATATTCTATATATACTAACCTAGTTTTATATAATATGCTATAGTTATCTAACATTTGCAGTTATAGAGATTATCTGTTTAACTGCTATATTACACTATTTTTATTTTTGTAAAATTTACTAGAATTGCAATACTTATCTTTTTGGCATCTTCTTTATCATCTTCTATT